TGCATGATAAATCAGCCTACAGCTGGTGTTAACTCGTGTGCAGCGTATAGTAATAACATCTCAGCTAGTAGACTCTGGTAGATACTAGTTTCTAGGCAAAAATGCACTCGGTCTTCCTCGAAGACCACACTCCATCATGACAATGCGATGGTTGGATTCAATCATCATCCTTACGGATATGAGCAGTGCAAGTCGACCCGGGCGATCTTCTTTCATCGTTGACCTCGAGTGAATTTTTACGGTTCTCAATGCACTCTCACTGTAAGGCTTGGTTCAAACGGGCTTTTTTAGTATGCTAAGAAGCTGCGGTTTTTTGTTTTTTTTTTTTCACAAAATGACAAACAATTAACTAAAAGAAAACCTGCTAGCAGCTGAACTCCTTTTTGTTGTTGACTTTCGTCTATCGAGTTGGCTGCGCTTCGACATGCGATTGAACATTTACCAGAAATCAGCAGGAAAGGAGAAATTTATTTTTGAAAAAGGTATCATTTTCCTTTTTTATAACCATCGCACTTTTATTTAGTCGTTTGACTTGCAAAATAAAAGAATCGTGATATTAGGAAAGCAAGTTATTTATTACTCTTATTTGGCGCAGGAACACAATTGCCAAATTGTAATTCCCGTTGTTTTCCTTTTGCTCACCTGATTCGCTCAAACATTTTGATAAAGTTTCAGCAAATTCGCAATTGAAAAAGTTTCTTTTTAACAATACAAAGTTTAGGCAGTTATCTAAGAAAACTTACACCGAAGGTTAATCGAAAAGAAAATGGACTTGTAATGGTAAGATTATTGGTCCATTGGCGTAAGACAACCAAGTTTTATTTCCCTAATGCTTAGTTATTATCAGAATTAGCGACACCTTTCTCATTTGTTCTTTGACCACCTGATTTCGCACTTTTAAGCTTGAGATGCAACAATAGATTTTTCACTAATACCTTTTTTTTATTGAAGAACACTTTACTAAGACCAACTTTCCGCCAAATTTGTGACGTATTTATTAACAAGGATCAACATACGCATTAACTATTTTTAATTACAGGAAATAAAAGCGAGCAATACATAATCAACCGAGCATATTCGTGCAACGCAACCGCAAAAGATAGCTTTATCAAAGCAAAAAGAAGACATGAATTCTAGCGAAACCTCACAAACGGAGAGTGCAGTTCATGGATGTGGACTGACCTCGCAAGGAACTGTTGATCATACATCCTCGGAAGTTTACGGCTGGCTTGTCTTCATCACAGTCATCAGCATCATCACATGTCCTATCACAGCTGTTTTGAATGTACTGATCATGATTGCTGTGAAAACTAAAAACCAAGTGAGAACCAAGTCCAACATTGCACTAGCTTGTTTATCTTCTACTGATGCGGTTATGGGAGTGATCGGTCAACCTCTTTTTATCGGTTGGCTTATCGAAGAACTGCAAGGAAACACGTCCGGTACGTACTGCGTGCTAATAGGTTTTGCCAGAACAGTTTTGAGAGTGTTAGGCATCGCATCATTGTTTCACCTGGCTATGATGAACGTAGAGCGGTACATTGCCATCAAATATTCACTGAGATACGAAATCATAGTCACTGAAGCTCGTTTGATTGGCGTTTCTGCTCTCTTGTGGACAATAACCCTGCTTTTAAAGTTTTTCACAAGCAGCAATTACGTTAAATTTGACATTGGCCTAACATCACTTTGCATTGCCACTATCTTTGTCTGTCAAGTTGTGCTCTGTTTCGAAACACGTCGCCACGAGAAAGAAATAGCAAGTCAGCATGTCTCGGTGGAAGCCAGAGAGAAATTCTTAAAGGAAAAGAAAGCTTTGAAACTAACAACAACCGTAATTTTTTGCGTTATAATTTGTTATTTGCCAATAACAATTTCCCGGAGTCTTACATCAACTTTCGCCATAAATTCAGTAAATTCAGTATACTTTGTTCATTTTTCAGGCGCCTTTGCCGTAATTTCCAATTCTCTGCTTAACCCGCTTATACATTGCGTTCGAATGAAGCAGTTTAGACTTGCCTTAAAGGAATTATTAGTATTTGGGAAAGGCAATTAACAGGCTGGAAATTTGGATTGAGTTAGAGGCTACAGCGACGATTGCCGGCATTGGTTCGACTTCCTCTGACAGCAAAGAATTTTACCAAAAAGTGCAGTGGCAGATCCCAGACGTTCAGATAAAGGGGGGCGGGGGGGGGGATGTGGAGGTGGGGTGGCTGGATTCGCCACAAAAGTGTGATGCACGGGCGTTCAGAGTTTTTGTTCTGCTCATTAAACTTGTGCTTTATTTTGGATTTTCTCGTTTCCGTTGCCGTCGTGGCTGATCAACCTCGTTAGGAGCGCTTTCCCACTAAACAATTCTTGATATGCAGCGAAGATGTCGTTAAAAAACCGACGATTAGATGGAAAACGCACGACCAAGGCGACGTCCGCAGGTACCACAGAGGCTCATAAAAGGTGACTGTCATTTGCTGTCTATTGGAACAACCAATTTTGTAGTTCGACGATTATCTTTTAAATACTGTAATAAAGACTCAGTAAATGAAGTCAGTTCGACAGATGAGGGGGTCGTTTTAGCATTTTGAGCTCATCCTTTTTTCGTTTATAAAATATACCTTTAAGATCTGTGTATGCTTTGACGGCTATTCTTCAAATAGAAGAGTGAAGGTAATCCGAAAGACGGGGCCACAAAGGCAAACTAAAATGGTAAAATCGTTTTCCTTTCATTTCGCAAAATATTTTTTATGGGTATATTCAATTTCGAGACCGCCATCAAATGTCCATATTATTGAGACATTCGTCTGAGAACGTTTGTTAAGAACGGCCGAACCCGATTTTTCTTACTGGATGCCCTAATCTATTTACTTTCGTCAAGCGAGAACCTTTTTTACGCCTAGAGTCTCCATTGTCTTAGCTTACGTTGCATATTAATAATCTATTCTTAGATATATACATTTTTTTTTATGAATATAAATATATCTTATTTACATCAGCTCTGACTGGTACTTGTGGTTCAGAAAATTAAAGTAGAACTTGGCTTGAGGGATACATCATTCAAAGTAATTTTCAGAACTTTATGACAGCGCTTAATTTTGAATGATTTTGCAGGACTTTTTTCTGTGCAGGACGTTACAT